TGGAGACACCAAAGTCATGGCTGCGAACCGACGGCAATGGCGATCCTGCTGTCACTTCTTATCAGACCAGAATGCTTGAAATTGTATGTATGCACAGTTGGGCTGTGTGCTCTGTCTGTTGACCATAGAGGTTCGCTTTCTTTTCCCGTCCCTAAAAATAGGCCCAATCCCTATCCTCCTTACGCATTCTCACTTATGCATTATGAGTTTGGCAGCGATCAGTGAAGTTCGCTTCATTTTATTACGCTGTACAGTAATGATGATGATGTGCGTCAAGAAGGCGTACAGACACCGCAGAGATCCAGGGTGTCATGGCGCGACGTGTCAGACCACAACTAACTAAGCCAGCAGAATGCAGAACATTCTTGATTAGCGACCAATGCCGGTTAACATTATTGGGTGGGGTTGGTTCTAGCTTTTCAGCTAGAGCGTTTTGAAAGACGGTTTAGCATGCTGTTTGAGACAACTTATCGCAGTCTAACCGCCGTTATATCGTGCGTTTAGAACGCCCACCGAAGCACATAGACAGCTTGGTGCAAACTAGCTCTTGATCAGATTCGAGAGTAGTACTCCAGTACAGTCGGTAGTCTTGAATGCAGCTTATAGCGATGTGGTCTATCTGCGTTGATCGCTGACTCGAGGAGGGTGGACGCCAGGTGGCGTATCGGCAGTTAGAGCATCTGAATTTCGTACCTGCGCGGGATAGGCGGTGGTCAAAACATAGAGCCAACAGCTGTTCCTCGTTTTCCGGGCTACCGGAATCTAGTCCAAAAGGACCTCCCAGGTGCGCCTCACTTGAAGTCAACCGGCCTACTCTGGCATTCATATCTCCTGCTAAAATCACGATATCAGCCCGGGTCGCTTTACGCAAGAGGTCGTGTAGATTGTGGTAAAGTTCATCTTCGACTGCATCTGGGCTGCAGTCTGTTGGAGCGTACGCCGAAACAACAAACAAGTTTCGTCTATCGTGGCGACGGCTGCTTATCTTGCACGAACCTCTGAGTTTCACTGCGCACAACCTGCTGTCAACTAAGATCCAATCCAGGAGGGTGGCTTCAGCTCTCTCACTGAGAGCCACGCCGACGCCAGCGAGACCGGAAGCCGCAGCCTCAGGGCCCCCAGAGAGGCGTAGGTGAAACTTCACAGATTGGTTTGACGGGGACGTCAATCAGATGACGGAGGTAGTCTTGAATGCCAGTTTCTTTGATGCAATACGCATCGATGGCTAGGGTCTTGAGATTACGAGTTAAATAAGCTTGTTGTCCTATACGCATCAAGGTACGCACGTTAAATGTGGCTAGTTTGAATGGGCATCGAGGACGAAGAAGAGCTTCAACTGGTGGAGAAAGATTCGGTGAGACTTGGACGCTATTCGAGGCAGGACGCAAGAGAAAAGGGGCGGAATTTCCATCGGAGGCACCACTGGTAGTACGACTGTTTGAAGATCTTGATAATAATGGGAATGTTTGAGGGGAATGAATGTGAGGTGAAGGAAAAATTGGAAAAAAGAAAGATGTGCACGGTGTAAAGCGTTTTTTTTCATGAGCGAGGAGAACTGAAAGAACGAGTTATTGATTAAGCTGAAGTTTATTGTTTGCATTATGGGCTGTTGTACTACTCGGTCGCCCAGTCCAGGATAGGCCTTGTTTGAGGATGCATTCTAGCCTTTACGCAGCCAAGCGCGAGCTACGAGGCAGCAGTGTTGCTCCACATAAGCCGATGACCGGTCGGTTGGTTCATTCGCTTTCTCTGGAAGACCTTGTCGGGTAAATGGAATTCGACAAGGTGGTAATGGCTGTATTCAGTGGCGGGGCACACCCGCCACATCACAGCGCTGTCATAAGATACATGTGTTTTTTGTGTGGAGAACCCTTGCCATGTGGTAAACCCACTACATCCTCGAGCACTGCCGCTGATTGTCCGCGACCGCTTATTCAGTGAGAATAAATCCACCTTATTCAGTTACCCGCCAGTTAGCGGTCGTTCTCCTATCTGCGACCTGGGGACGCGCTCGGTAGCATATAGCTCTGCTCTCCGAGCGCTCGGCGAACGGGCGAAATGGAACAATAAGACCAGTCTGTAAGTTGCTCAAGGGCGGAATACTCCCAGGTTAACCAGGTCGAAGCAGGTTGTCCTCATTGAGGCTTCATAACTGGAGCCTTTAACCAACAAAATCCTCATCCGGGGCGGTGTGAGAAGGTTGCAGCTCATTATGGACCAGTGCCCCTTTAGTCGGATGAAACACGCGCTGTTGTCCGTATGAGCCAGTGACCATTGCGACGATTATTTCTGTGCCATTTCGCCCACCCCTTCCTGGTAGGTTTCGAATGAAGATTATCCAGCTCTCTTTTATAACCTAGTGGCTC